TAGCAGGAGCGGGATCCTAGGACTTGCCTTCCTTCGGGAGGAGGTACTGCCTCACCTCTGCCCTCCCCCCTGCTGGGGTCTGGCCAGTTGTCCCAGTCCAGGGAAGGCTCTCCCGGCTCAGGCCCAGCAAAAGCCCCACCTCACCTGTGGGACCTGCCCACACAGTCCCCTGGCCCCGTGCTAGTCTCCGGTCCAGCTGCCAGCACCCCTGGAAACCAAGGGCTGAGCTCCCTGAGAAGGTGTCCCACATTCACCAACCTCCCAGCTGCTTAGCAACCAGTAAGTATTCGTTGAGCCTATTCTCTGTCCAGTACCAGGCTGGGTACAATGGGATAAGACATGATGAACACATTAAAAAAAAAAAAAATGGCGCAAAGCTACTCTATGAAACTGTATTATCAGTGAGGGCTACAGGGCTGCAGAGAGGGGAAGAGGTCACTGGAGACTAGAGAAATCCCGGAGAGCTTCCTGGAGAAGGCAGCAGCTCTTCAACTCAACCCCGAAGAATGGATAGGAAAGCACAGTATGAAGAAAGGCAAGGAGGAGGGAAGGAGCATGGCCAATATAAAGGGGAGGCTGGTCTCTCAGAGAATGGTGGTGAAGTGGGGTGGGGTGGGTGGTTGTGGGGATCACGGTGAGGGCTGAAGCCTAGAGGAACCCCCACAGGATTTCTGACGTGAAAGGGGAGACAATAGGAAGCCACTGTCTTCTATAGCAGGGCCTGGTCATGATTAAAACAGTTTGATCCTTAGAAGAATGAGCAAAGAGGTGCAAAGAATAAGAGCTGGGACAGACAGAAGACAGACAATAGCTTCCCTGCCCCAACAAGAACTCCCTCTGCAGCCTCAGGAAAGGAAAAAGTGCCCCGTTTTCCTCCCCCACTTATTTTAAACTTCATTCATTTTGTGATACTCCATGCTTTCTTTAAAAAAAAAAAAAAATTTTTTTGGGGGGGGGAGCAGGAGAGTCTGGGGAGCAGGTAATCTTAGGTGGGCAGAAAAGTAAAGAGTAGCCCTCACCTAATAATTGTGGACTAACTGACAAGGGTGCCCACTGGAAAAGGAAACTGAGCAGAGGAAGAAGACCCCAAGGGGAAGGGGCAGGTGCAGGCCAGAGTCTGGTGGGAGCCCCAGAGCAGGGCACACAAGCCCTGGCCCCAGCCCCCATTCCCTGTGTCCCACCACCGCCACCTTCCTTTCTTGTGTCTTAGATCCTGCAGGCCGTACACCTCTTGCTGCAATGCCCGCCCTCCCCTCCCTACCCTTCCCCCAAATCCCAACGCATCCCTCAAAAGCCAAAAGCCACCTCTTGCTGATGTATGATGACCCCAGGCAGAGTAAGTCCGAGTCTCTTGGGGCGTTGCTCTTCTGCGTACCCCGAACCCTCATCCTATCCTGGGACAACTAAGAGTCCTCTCAGTGTCCGAGCAGCCTGGTATCTGGCACAGCACTCGGATGTGGGGGGCCTCTGGGAGTCCGCTCAAAACTGTGCTCTGCAGGCTTTGAAGAGCAGGTGTCTGGTTCCGAGGAGGAAATGCTGGCTGGACCTGCCAGGGACACTGCCTGGGGAACAGCAGGAGGGGAGCTGCTCTGGGGGGAGGAGGGAAGTCAAAGCGTCTATGAGAGCACAGGAGCAGCTGGGGCAGAGATGGGGGGGGGGCAGAGATCTGGGTGTGCCAGGGCGGAGGGACAGAGGAGGACCCTGAGGAGACGCCGCTGAGGAACTGGGGAAGAACCTCAGGGTCAAGGGCAGGAAGGCCCTTGGAGGCAGTTTCGGAAGAAAGGGTCAGATGTCAAAGAGCCACCAGAGACGGGGGAGGGAGGAAGGATTCACCCTTGCTAAGTAAGCCACTTCGGAAACGAGACCAATGGGGACAGTGACTACTCTTTAGTCTGAGGGGAACCTGGGAATCTTGAAAGCTACCTGTGTCCCCCCAGCATCCTTGTTACCTGCAGCTAGTCCTCCCCCAGCCCCTGGCAGAGCCCCAGAGGGTAAGTGTGGTCTTCCACCCCGCCCCCCGACGTGGCAGTAGGAAGCCTGAATTCTAATCCCATCCCGTCCCATCCCATGTGCTGCGTGAGCTTGTGGCCAGCGTGCAGTTCCGCACCCCGGACTCCTGGCCTGAAAATGAGGGGATATCAGTTCCGACGCTTGTGTGAGAAGTCATGCAATTGTTTACAGACACCTCTGGTTATAGCCTATGAATAGAACAATTTTGCTAGCAGAAATGTAGTCGAACATACCTAAAACATTTTAAATTAAATCAACTTTTGAGGTTTTATTCTTTTTTTTTTTCTGTTAATACTCATTGGTTACCTATACTGGCTGGGTTTAAGATTTTCTAGAAAAACTTCTGATGACCGTTGAAGCTGGGTGATATAGGCTCATGGGGGATCATTATACTACTCTCTCCTCTTCTGCGGGGGGGTCAGAAAAGGTTCATGATAAACAAGTCTTTAAATTTTGTAGAAAAAAAAATTTTAGTAGAAAACAAAATTGAGAAAAATGTATCTATTAAATATTTTTCCAGCAAATTGAGAAAATACTTTTTTTATTTTTTATTTTTATTGCAATGGAGGGCCTTCCAGGTAGCACAGTTTGAGGACTGGAGAATTTCTAGAAGCTTTCTTAGGTCTAAAAATTATTAGGTCCCGGCTTACAGCCCAAGGCTAAGGAAGGCAGAAAAATCACCATGCATACATAACAAGGGGTTGGAACGCAAAGCCCCACCCCTGGTCCCAGGGGGCCGGGAGGAGGGCCATTGACCAGACAGGTGGAATAGCCCGTCCCCAATTTCCATCCCAAAGATCGCACTTAAGGCTGGGGGCAAGCCCCTCTCTCCCCCAGACTGGGACTGGCAGCCCTTTCTAGGCTCTTCCGGGGAAAGTAATCTCTTCCTTCCTGGGTCCTGAAAGAACTGGGAACAATCGAGTCGACAAACCCCCCACCCTGTTGTGACTTTCTCTAGAGCAAACCCTGGAACAATGCGCTAAGGACAGTGCCTTCCGCGGTAGGCCCCGGGGCCAAGGCAGTGAGAGTGAAGGTGAGGTGATGCCCCAGGAGGTGAGGCCCCGGGGCCAAGGCAGTGAGAGTGAAGGTGAGGTGATGCCCCAGGAGGTGAGGCCCCAGGGCCAAGGCAGTGAGAGTGAAGGTGAGATGATGCCCCGGGGGGTGAGGCCCGGGGCCAAGGCAGTGAGAGTGAAGGTGAGATGATGCCCCAGGAGGTGAGGCCCCGGGGCCAAGGCAGTGAGAGTGAAGGTGAGATGATGCCCCAGGAGGTGAGGCCCCGGGCCCAAGGCAGTGAGAGTGAAGGTGAGGTGATGCCCCGGGGGGGGGGGGTGAGGCCCCGGGGCCAAGGCAGTGAGAGTGAAGGTGAGATGATGCCCCGGGGGGGGGGTGAGGCCCCGGGACCAAGGCAGTGAGAGTGAAGGTGAGATGATGCCCCGGGGGGGTGAGGCCCGGGGCCAAGGCAGTGAGAGTGAAGGTGAGATGATGCCCCAGGAGGTGGCGATTCACCGCCTCTCACGTTTCCACGCCGTTCTCTGCCAATCAATCCCAGGAAGAGCCAACTGCGCTTCCCTGGGTCTCTCCCTCCCCACCGCCTCCCCACCGCTCGCTGCTGCAGCCCTCCGCCACCTGACCCCCACCGAAGCTTCTCTCAGAAACGTCACCAGCCACCTCCAGTTCGTCAGATGCAAGGGGCACGAATCAACGAATTCAGCTTCCGCAGGGCAGGTGGCCACTCTCCCCGGAAAACCTTCTCTCTGAGACTCACACTCTCCCCCTGGCTTCCTCCCAGGCCCCTGCTCTGTCCCCACCCGCCACCCTTCTCCAGAGGACCAGAAATGCAGGGGTTCCTGCAGCCAGACCTTCCTCTGCCCGGGACCCAGGCCCCTCAGAATCGCAGCAGGAACTCTTGATTCCCAAACCTGTTCCTCCCTAGTCTTCCCTGTCAGAGGACAGGGTGCAACCATCACGGCATTCAGTGAGGCCAGACCCCTGGGGGCTGTCCTCGAGTCCTTCCATCCCCTCCTGCTCCCGCCCACCCATCGGCACACGCTGGTCCCATCTCCAGCATCCAGCCCGGATCTGTCCTCGGTCTCCACTGCTGCCCTGAACCCACTGCACATCTCTCCTCTGCACAGAGACCGTCAGTGGCATCCCAGTGTGCTGAGGACTCAGCAGCTTTCGGAGGTGCTGATGATTGGACCCCCGGTCATCTCTCAGCCTCAGCTGGCCCCACTTTCTCCTCTGCTCATTTCACTCTGGGCGTACTGGTCTTTCATTTGGCCAAACAAGTCAGGGCCTTCCTTGCCTGTGCTGTTTATCTGCCTGGAACTGTGGTTGGCAAACTGCGGCTCTTGAGCCACATGTGGCTCTTTGGCCCCTTGAGTGTGGCTCTTCCACAAAATATCGGCCTGGGCGGGTCTATTTCGAAGAAGTGGCATTAGAAGAAGCTTTAAAAAATTTGGCTCTCAAAAGAAAATCGTTGTACTGTTGATATTTGGCTCTGTTTGACCAACGAGTTTGCCGACCACTGGGCTAGAACGTCCTCTCCCACCCAGATCCTCACAGAGCCAGCGCTTCCGTTCCTTTCGGTCTCCACTTAAAGCTCACTTCCTCCAAGAAGCCTCTCCTGGTTACCCCACCCACCAGAGCAGCCCCCCCCCCGCCGTGATCCTCTACCTCAGCCTGTTGACTTCTTTTCTGTCCGTCTCCCCCATCAGAATGTCAACTCCATGAGGACAGGAAGCACATATGCACAGAGCCTAGCACACTGCTTGATACCGGCTAAGCATTCCACACACATTGTGGAGAGAACAGAGGAACCAGTTACCAGCTAAGGAGCACGCAGTTCCCTGCCAGCACCAGCGATGGACCCGAAGGGGACACGGAGGCTCAGCCAGGGCCTGACCACAGCTGCAGCGGGTGGCTGAAGCGGGTGTCCCGTTTCCCGGTGACGTGGGGCCAGCCGGGGCACAGACCAGAGGGCTCCTCACCTCCCTTTTCCAGCGTGCCAGCCACTCGTCCCGCTTGCGCTTGCTGATGTAGTAGGGGTCCCCCGCCTGGAAGGTGAGCCGCGGCATGGGCCGCTGGCGGAGGCTGGACTCCCAGCCCAGGCCCCCCCGGAGCCGGCCCCGGGAGCCCTAGGACAGAGAGAGAGACAGACTGGCATTAAGATGGGCCCCCCCTGCTGCGTTGGTTCCCGGGGAGGGGATGCTGAGGAGGCACTCGCCTCCAACAGAACACAGGAGCTCTGGCTTCTGGACTGAGATGCCACCCTGCCAGTGCTGGGCAAGCCCTGGGTGGGCTGGAGACGGAGGGACTGGGGGGTCGGGGGGAGACTCATGGGCATAAGCCAGGAGGGGAGGGGGACTAGATGGCTGCCTTGAGGGACTTCCAACCTCCACGCCCACTTCCTCTCCTGCTCTCAGAGGGATGGGTAAAGGAGGGGCCGCGGCCGCCTCAGGCTCCCCTCACGCACACACGCACGCTCGCCACGGCTGGCTTTCTCCTCCTGGGATCGGGGTCCGCAGAGCCCCCGGGGGCCGAGGAAAACACTTGCCTCCATTTTCATAGACTCGATGTTGGTCTCCTTCTGCTCTTTGCCTGTGGAGAGAACACAGGGGCTGTGGGCAGAGTTACGGGAGAGGCTCCGAGGCCCCGCCTCGCGCCTGGGCGCCTGCTCTGCGGACAGGAGTCCTCCGGCCGCCGAGCTGTTCCAGGGTCCAGCCTGAGGCCCTCGAGGTGCCTGGCACCGTGCCGGGCCGGAGGACGCGGAGCATGGCCAGAGCGGGAAGGGCCCGGGCCAGACAACAAGGGCCGGGGCTGCGGCTTCTAGCCCAGTGACCGTCAGTCCCGGGCACACAGAGGGGCCACCTAGAAACCGCCCCACAGTTCCTCCCGGGAGGAGGGGGCAGGCGGCACGGCCTTCCTTGGCCCTGGAACGGAACTGCTTCTGTGCGTGTGTTGGGGGGGGGGGGGAGGAGGGAGACAGCAGGGAGCAGTGGGGTGGTGCAAGGCGGTGGTGGAGCAAGTTGGTTTCTGTGAGACCCGGTTTCCTCGTCTGGAATGGAAAGCTGCCGGAGGTGATTTCTAAGGTTTTCCCGCAGTTCCCGGGATGATGGTTCTGTTATTCATAGATGCCCCCGTACCCCATTCCCCTCCCCGTTCCAGGTCCCTGAGCTCAGCCTTTATCCGGTGGGATCTCTGACCCTCTCCCAGCCTGCTTCCTCACTGAAGGGAGGTAGATAATTAAGGTGACCAGACATCCCGATTTGGGGACAAATTGTTAAAAAATTGTCAAAAGTGGGACGTCTTGCCGAGACCGGTTTGGCTTAATGGATAGAGCGTCGGCTTGGGGACTGAAGGGTCCCGGGTTCGATTCCGTTCAAGGGCATGTACCTTGGTTGCGGGCATATCCCCAGTGGGGGGTGTGCAAGAGGCAGCTGGTCAATGACTCTCTCTCATCGATGTTTCTAGCTCTATCTCTCTCCCTTCCTCTCTGTACAAAATCAATAAAATATATTAAAAAAAAAAAAGTGGGACGTCTGGTCACCTTATAGATAACCTTTCTAAAATTTTTAGGTTCCTGGGAACGTTAAATGTCTAGAGCAAGGCTCGGCATACAGTAGGTGCTCAATAAAAGCTAGCTTTGCTCCCCTTCCCTGAGGCAGAAGTTCCCTGTCATTCCTCAGCTGGATCCTGAGGCCAGTGGCTGGAGGAAGGCTCCCTGGGGGCAGCAGCCCAGCAGGGCTGTCTGTGAGAGAGCCCTATCCTCTCCCTGCCCTGCTCCTGGCCCCAAGCAGAATAGCCCTGCCCAGCTCCCCTGGTCCTCCCGGGGTCCTCCCCTCCCAGGTGCCACGTCCCAGCCCAGCCCCACCGGCAGCGGCCCTGGCTGTGGCGTTGGGTTAACTATGCCTTCCTGAGCTTCCGGCAGGAGGAGGGCAGGGGGAGTAGCTGGGCCCAGAACGCCTGTCTCTGAAGCCAAGAGCACTGAGTGCGGGCCCGGAGGCAGGAAGGTCACTCGGGCTGGTTCCTGGTGGCTGGGGGGCGGGGATGGGGGCGGGCAGCGGCGGAGGGGGACACAGCCCAAAGCGGAAAAAACAGCCCGGACTGCAGCTCCGGGCTCCGCTCCGAGGCGGAAACCAGCCACAGCTCTGCAGGCCCGAGTCCTCAGCTCCCGGAGGAGGCTCTGTCCCCGCCTCTCCCCCGGAGAAGACCTGGGATATGTGTCCGCGTCTGCCCCAGGCAGGGGCCGGCCGGCCAGCTCCGGGGTCCAGGGACCCAGGGCCCTGGGGGAGGGGGAGGGGCGGCGGGCCCGCACCTGCAGGAATGGGAGCGAGGGAGGACATCCCGCAAGCACGGACACCCGGGAGCACCGTGGGCCGCTGCACCCGCAGGGCTGGGGGCGGGGGAAGGGGGGGGGGCGGAGGCGCGCAGCCTGCGGCGGGGGCGCGCGGCGGGGCGCGCACGTCCTTGCGGACACGCTTTGCACGCGGCGGGCCTCGGGAGGCTTTTCTCACCCGGACACTCTCTCTCCTCCAACGTGGTTCCTTCTGGCCCTACGGTCTCACCACTGCCCGCTCCCCAGCATTCCCGAGGGGCTCCCCATCCTGCCAAGCCGCTGGCCCTCCTCCCTTCAAGGCCCTCCTCCCTGAAGTCCTCCCTCCGCCCTCTCCGACCTGCACAGTTTGCCCGGCGAGGCTTGGCGCTGCCGGAAGGGGGCGCCCGCCCTCGGAGCGGATGCACCCTTAGGACCTCAAACAAACGTTTCCTACCCGGGACATTGGATCTACGGAAAACCGTTTGTGCGTGCAAATGAAAGGGAACCGGCCGCTGAAAGACAAGTAATGTGAGGATAATGGAGTCAAGCTCCCGGCCCCTAGGTTTGGTTTGGCCGCTGGGGAAACAAGCCTGGGGAGTGGGCTACGAAGACAGCCAGCCCACGCACTGCACCATCTTTCCAGATGTTCCCTCTCCCGTCACCCCCGGCCCCATGGGCCCTATGCTCCCCAAACACAATGATTCTTCCGTACATAAGTTGCTAACTTCCTTCTTTCTGGAATTTTTCTCCCTGGCGGCCTCTGCGCATGCCCAGCTGAGTGATATCACACACACACACACACACACTTGAGCCCACAGAACAACACCCTGGGCCGCCTCAGAATGCTGCACTTGTCCCGAGTCAAGGAGGGGGAGCGGCTCCCTCAGCACTCCGCCTCAGTGTCCGTCTGCTCCTGGCCCAGACCCAGGCCCCAGGCCGCGCCAGGTGGCCCTGTGCCTTCCCGGGTGGCCCTGGCAGGCCTGGAGGCCAGGGTGCTCCTAACACTCCTCTGTTGGCCTGGGACTGTACTCGGCAGGGGGCCACCCCAAATTCCCTTTCCAATGCACCTAGGTCTCAATCATGGAGGGCAGTCGCTAGCCTGGCATGGAGGAGGGAGGAGCTCTGTGCCCACCCTAAGCTGGTCCTTCACCAGTTGTATCCACTCGGGTAGGTAACTGAACTCTCCGAACCCTCAGTCTCCCCATCTGAAAAGTGGGGATAGCCTGGCTGGGTGGCCCAGCTGGTGGGAGCATCATCCAGTGCACCAAAAGGTGGTGGGTTTGATTCTGGACAGGGCACACCCCCAGATTGTGGTTAAATGTCCAGTCGGGGTGCATAAGATCAATGCTTCTCTCTCACATTGATGTTCGTTGTTATTTTTTTTTTTCTCTCTCTCTCTCCCTCTCCTTCCTCTCTTTTCAAACAAACAAACATATCCTCGGGTGAGGATTTAAAAAAACAATGGTGGGCCTAAACCGGATTGGCTCAGTGGATAGACCATTGCTCTGCGGACTTAAAGGTCCCAGGTTCGATTCCGGTCAAGGGCATGTACATTGGTTGCGGGCACATCCCCAGTAGGGGGTGTGCAGGAGGCAGCTGATCGATGATTCTATCTCATCGATGTTTCTAACTCTCTATCCCCCTCTCTTCCTCTCAGTGGGTCTAGGATGGGGCCTGCGAGTCTGCATCCCTCACGTCTCAAGTGATGCCAGGGGATGGATGGACCACTTGGGAGGAGTGAGGTTACAGCACACTCGACACAGTGAATCACAGAAAGCCACGCTGGCACCGTTCCTGGTAGCACCACGGTGTTCACGCCCGGAGGGCAGGCGCCTTCTGAAGGCCACCACCTGTGTGTCCAGGTGGCTCTTGTCCTGATGACGCATCCTCTCCCCGGTCCCTCCTCCTCTCTCCTGGCTGTGCTCTCAGGAGCTGGGCTCCTGCGGTACATCCTGGAGGGGGCCCAGGCCGGAGGAACTCTGTGTGAGAGCCTTCCGTTTCTCCTGTATGGGACCTCAGGAGAGGGGTTCCAGGAGAGACAGATGGGGTCCCCTGAAGGGAGACCTAGCATGAGGGGAACTGAAAGAAGACCACAGCCCAGTTCCTTCCTTGCTGGGGCCTTAGTCTCCTTTCTCCTCAGAACCAAGCAACCAAGTGCGTATTCTGTGTGGCTGATGCAGGAACAGTGGCCAAGCCCCCAGGAGGCCACTGCCCACCCCTCTAGGTAACTCCCCACCAGGCTCAGCATCAGGCAATGCCCAGTGCCCTTCAAGGATCCTACCAGCTGTAGCCCCTGCTGCCAGCACCTCCCTGCCCTGGCTGCTGCAGCCTCACAGGAGTGCTCTGAGGCCAGACTCTGGAGATCAAGGAAACGAGCGTCTTGCCCACCATGCTCAACGCAAAGCTTCCGAAAAGATCTGACTGCCGAAGTCACCCCTGAGCATCTGCCCCCTTTTCTCTCACGTTCCTGGCACGTGTCTGCCTCTATTCAGTTCTGCTACCTCCTCACTCATCAGAGCCCCGCGCCTCCCCTCTCTGTCTGTAGCATCTGCAGTAACTCCTAGGCCTCATCCTGCCTCTGGCCCCTCTGTTCATTCCGTTCCAGGATCCAGATGGCAAACTGATCTTTCCACAGTGTGCAGCACATTATGTCAGGGAGGCCCTGCCTGCTCTCTCCTCACCCCACGCCAGCCTGTGGGTTTCTGTCAGGTCCCTGCTCCCTCCCACCTGAGGGCCCTATTCCTGTTCTCCTATTCCTGCGGAATCTTCCCCTTTAGGTGGGACAGCCAAGGCTCCTCGGTTACAGTTCCTCATGGAACCATGTTCATTTTCCCCTAGAGAACGTAACTGTGTTTAATCACACCCTCTTCAGTGCGGATGTCTCATGAATGTCTGTCTCTTCAGAGGACTGGGAGGTCCTTAAGGGCAAGAGCCAGGTTTTTGTTCATGAGGATTTTCCCAGATCCTGGCACAGACCAGAGGGGTGTTTAATAAATACCTGTTGACTGACTGAGGAAGGAGCTCCTGGAAACAGATAGAAAGGGAGGCAGGGAGATCCCAAACCAAAGCAAACCTCAAGGTGAAAAGCAGCCCGAAAGGACTGCCGGGGCCTGGGGCAGCAGCTGGGTGCCATGATGGTGGGGTCCCAGGAACCGGGGAACCAGCCAAGACACGCCCTGGGGACCAGCACACGTGGTGGGAACGGCTGACGGGTTCCGTTCTGCACACCTGGCCTTTCTCACAGGAGGATGGGAGCTACTCCCTCCCCTCCTTTGTTTTACTCCACGTGGGCCCCCTGAACACTCCCACCAAGTGTCAAGACCCAGCCCAGGAGGCACTGGGGTGAGGCTAGGGGCCCTGGACAGGTCAGGGTGCAAGCCTCCCAGCCGCACTGCAGAAGAGGAGGGAGAGTGGATGGGCACCCCGACTCTGAAGCCAGAGACTAGGACAGACTAGATCCTGGACCTGCCACGTACAGGTTTGGTGCTTCTGAGCAAGTCACCTCTTCTTGGCAAGCCTCAATCTTTTCCACCTTAAATTGGGGACAGTGATTCCTCGTGAAGGAGACTGTTTGGAGGAGTAAGACACTGAACAGACTCTCAGAAAACGCTTTGCACATAGTGGGAGCACCGTAGACATCAGCTGAGTCATAAACGCCCAAAGGATTCTTTAGTGAATCTGGAGATCTCTTCTGGAGATGCTCTCCACCCGGCATGAATGTGAGGTTTGGATCCGCGCAGGAAGAGTGATGCCAATTAATCAATTTACTCATTCCATCACACACACACTTGGAGGGGAGGCTTTTTAAAATTGAAATGCACATATGCAAAGCGACCTGGCAGGGCCCTGGGAGGATCAAATGTGATAATGTATGAGAAAGCGCCTTGTAAACTGTGAGGCCCTGTACAAATGCTAGTTGTGCTCATTACTAACGTGTTTACAGCTCGGTTGGCCCCAAAATCGCTGGCTTAACCTGAAAGAGAAAAGTGGGCGGCTCTCCAGGACTCCGGGGCCAGGCCAAGAAGCCCTCGGAGGAAGAAGAGGCCTGGACCCCGCAGTGCCCCAGCCACCTGCCCCTCCCCGTCTGTCACAACCACAGCGCCGTCCAGTCATCTAAACTCTGGCGGGCCCAGGACATCTGTGCTGGGAAGGCTCACTGGCTTTTCATGCCCACAGGGCATCTGCTGCCCTTGGGCACCCATGCCAGGGGGCTACAACACAGCCATCCCCAAGAACTGAGGTCTCATGGGCGAGCAAGTAGGCCAGGGGGGGCTGAGGGAAACAGGTGCACAACCAGCCTGATTGGGAGGGAGGGGGTGTGCACAAAAAAGGGGAACAGCCATCACCCCAGTCCAGCAAATGTTGGCATTCTGTAACCCACTTGGTCTAGCTGTTTTATTTTCTCACAAGAAGCCAAAACTCCAGATTTTTTATGTGAAATGTCTCGAGTTTAAATATTGGCAACTAATTAAAAAAAAATGTTTAAGCTTCACAGTTGGCAAATCTGGATTACAAAAGAAATAGTGAGACACACTCATTAATGTAATCTAGAGAAATTTTCCTCCGTGGCAAAGTCAAATGCTAGTACTAAAAGAAAGCATTATTTAGGACTTATTAGTCCCTCAACCAGAATAGTTGAAGTAATAATGGTTCATTTTAATGTTTACCAGATCAAATGTGCATTTCTAAAATCAAATGCCATTACTTACTGACTTCTTAAGGAGTGATATTTAAATGAATGTCATAAATCCAATAGAATATGCATTGGAACTATACAAACATTAATTGCATTAGTACATTATTTATGTGTCTTTAGAGGTATGATCATTTTAATAGTTCTCACTGTTATTTTCAAAAACCACATAATAAAATGTCTCATAAATAAGAAGTGAGGCTACATATGTGATGGTCCAAGGTGTTATCTTGAAATTAGCTTGTGAAAGTTAATGGTCAATAAAACTTTTTTCATTCTAAAAAAAAAAAGTTTAAAATACGACATGGGCCAAATAAAACCTGTGGGTAGGCTGCATCCGGCCAGTAGCCTGCAGGGCACACCTGGGCGAGGAGGCCTTCAGCTACCACGTCCAGCCCCCGCCTCCAGAGACCCATGGGGCCCCGAGTCTCCAACATTCAGGGGAGCCCCAAAGAGGTGGCCCCTTGAGCCAGGGACTCACCTTCTTCTGGGGGGGCTCCTCGGCCGTCCTTGGGGGTGCAGCAGCCGTTCTCCACGGCGCGGGAGGCTTCGGGCGGGGTCTCGGCGGCACCCTCTCCCTCGGCCGGGGCCCCGCCCTTCTGTCCTCCGGCAGGGCTCCCCTCCTCTGGCTGGGGCTCACTCCGCTTCTCCAGGTCCCCGTTGGGTAACAGCTCGGAGGGGCCTGAGTCCTGGGCCATGGATGGGGACTTGGAGGTCACCGCAGGGTCCTTCGGCGTGTCACTGCTCTCCACCTGGTCATGGACAGACACGGAGAGGGTTAGTCCAGGGGAACTCTGGTGGAAACGCTCTGTCCGGATTAATTTTGTTCACATAAACGTGCATGAGGTTTTGCATGACCTTCATGCATTCGAAATTTTGCTCCGTTTCAAGGGGTTTACGGGCTTGATCTCCTGAAGTCAAGGGATCTATGGACTCCAGCTGAAGAAACGGGAGAAGAATCCAGCCAGGTTTGCCAGCTGGTTCCACAGCCCAAGCTGCACCCCCACACACACACTCACTGGGGTGACATAGGGCCCCTCCCCCAGCCTTGTGCAGCCTCACCACATCCCTCCTTCGGAACTGGACCAGCCTGGGCTGATCCGATTTCCCTGCCTCAGCCTGCCCAGCTTTCCCCTGGGTCTGTAAGCCCAGTGACGAGCTGCCGGAGGGTCAAACACCCCCCGCCCCCCAACTCTCCAAAGAAGCATTCCTCTGAGCCCCAGAGTCCAGCACATTCTTTCCCTCAGCTTTGGCCTCCACGGGTCTCCCAGGTGCTCAGACGCCAGGACAGCCAAGGCCCCACCAAGCAATTCTCGGTTCATACAGCACACCCTCCCAAATGCAATGCTTTGTTCCCAAGCATCTGAGAACTCCCTACAGGTAAACTATTAACCGTTTGGCAGGTACCTGTCCTAGACTTTTCCCCTATGTCTCTACCATCACGTGTAAGTTACATGTTTATGCATATGCACACACTGGTCCAGAATTGTTTTTTCTAAAGGAGATCATGCTCTCATCCTGTTCTGCACCTAGCATCTTCACTTAACAAAGCAGGGTGGGCGTCTCTCCCTCCCTGTGCACATGGTGGGCCTTTGGGCCGATTTGATTTTTATTTTTTTAATATATTTTATTGATTTTTTTACAGAGGGGAAGAGAGAGGGACAGAGAGTTAGAAACATTGATGATAGAGAAACACCGATTAGCTGACTCTTGCACACCTCCCACTGGGGATGTGCCTTGCAACCAAGGTACATGCCCTTAATCGGAGTCGAACCTGGGACCCTTGAGTCTGCAGGCCGACATTCTATCCACTGAGCCTAACAGGTTTCGGCCTATTTGATTTTTTTTTTAACATATATTTTTATTGGTTTCAGAGAGGAAGGGGGAGGGAGAGAGAGAGACATCAATGAGGAGAGAGAATTATTGATCAGTTGCCTCCTGCACACCTCACACTGGAGACTGAGCCCGAAACCCAGGCATGTGACCTGACCAGAAATCGAGCTGTGACCTCCTGGTTCATAGGTCAAAGCTCCACCACGGAGCCACGTCGGCCGGGCCTGATTTGCTTTCTGCTGAGAGTGAACGCTTGCCCGGAGAGCTCGGTGCATCTGCGGATTCCTGCAGGCCGGAGTCCCAGAGGTGGGCTGGCTGGGGTGAGGGCGGGCCGGTCTTGGTGTGAGTGGAAACGGCCAGCCCTCCCATGTGTTGCTCCACTCCAGTGCACCCAGAAAACCTCGGGGAGCCCCGGTTCCCGTCCCCCCTTCCCCTCCCCCACAGTCCTGCACCCTCCACCGTGGCTTCTGCTCTTAGGGTCTCTGATCTCAACTCGGAGCCTGCTATTCTTTGGTGACAAACCCCCACGGGTGGCAGATAGAGCCTGGGGCCTTGGGAAAAACAATAAAAACAAAGACGAAAAACAGGACTACACCAGAGTCCTCCCTGGGCGAGCCTGCAGACGCAGGGAGCAGCGTGAGCGGAGGGAACTCCAGGCCCCCTGCCAAGCTGTTCTCCTGGCCGTGCGGCAGCCGGCGGGCGGCGGGCGGGCGGTGGGCCTCCGGGAGGAGCACCTCCCATGGAAAGCTGCAAAGGCGCGCAGCCCGCAGCACGGGGGCGGGGACGCTGCAGCCAGGGGGAGAGGAGGCCTTCGGCGGAAGCGGAAGCTAGGAGTCCACCGCGAGGTTTGGGCACTGAGGGCCAAAGCCAGCAGAGCCGGGAGGTCAAACGCGGGAATGCAGGTGGAGCCAGAGGCCCTGTCTCTCTCCTCAGCTGCCGTCCCACGTGTCGAGACCCACACGCTCTCTGCAGGGCTCGGACAGAGTGTCCCACCTCCCCGCTCAAACCTACGGGGCCCCCTGAGGAGGCCCCTCCCTGGTGGGAGTCCTCTTCCCCCAAGGCTTTGTCGTAGGCAAGGAAGTCAGGGGGCCCAGCAGCTGGAGAGGGGGGCACGCCTGGGCCCCCACAGCCACCCGGGTCTGGCTGTGCCAGGCGCCACCGTGCTCCACGCGGGGCACTCCGGGGAGGTGGGCGTGGGATCCCGCAGGCCCACTGTGTAGGTCACAGCCCATTCCTGGGCATGGCGGCGTGCTTCTTTCCTAAGCCTCTTGCTGCCCCACAGCCCTGGCCCCCAAAACTGCTCAAGACAACCCCGCTGCTGTTTACTTCCTGCCTGGGAACCACGCGGCTCCTTCCCACCCTGGGACTCACTTCCTGTTGACAGTCAGGAGCACCTGCTCCCAGACCTCACCCACCCAGGCTCCTGCCCGCCCCCTGAGCAAGCTCCCCTCCCAGGCAGCCCTGCAGGACCCTGTCTGAGGCAGTGCAGACACACCATCCCCTCAGAGGCAGGCGGAGGAGGCGGAAGGGGGGGGGGTGCTCTGCACAGCTCCAGCCCCAGGGTTAACACTTCCCTTCCCACTCGTCCCAACTGGGCCATTCCCCATGCCCGCCCACTCTGGTCCTCGGTGAGCCTGCATCACCCAAAGCTCTGGGATTAAGGGGAGCCACTGACTCCGGCTGTGGACCCCTCGATCCACCTTATGCATTGAGAACCCACCCTGAGCCCCTCACCGCCCTCTCTGTGGGGCCCAGGGTCACTGGGCAGATCACCAAGAGGGAGGAAGGAGGTCCACAGGCAACTGGACTGAAGCAGTTCTTCCAGTCTCTGAGGGAGGAGCTGGGTGCTCCCTACAAGGGGCATCTCAGGCGAGAAGAAAGCATAACCCACACCTGGAAGCTCCTAAGACAGGCCATCCCAGCCAGGCCCGGGCACTCCTGCCCCCACCTCCACGCCTTCCTCGCCTTCCTCGCCGCTGCCTCCTCTGCTCTCCTCCCCTCCCCCCTGTCGCCATTAGCTTGTGCCTCTCGGAGGCAGGACCTTTGTCTGGTTAGACTCAGCGTGGAGCGGGCACCTGGCAGGTGCTCAGGATTCACAGTGGCTTCCTTGCGGCTGGAGGCCGGGTGCGGAGCGAGAGCAGCCTGCTCCCACACCGAGGGAGCCTCGGCTTTGCTGCACGCCCTGCCTGACTGTTAGAGGCTCAGCATTTGTTTGCTTTCATTTGCCTTGAAAGGGGACACAGCACACCCCGAGGCACTCGTTCCCACGGAGAGAGGAGAAGGAGCAGTGGCAGGCGCTGGCCCCTTTGGAAGGCGCCGCCCACCTGCAGCTGGAGGTGACAAGTTCATCTTCCTTTGCTTCTCACCTTGGGGCTGGGGCCGGAGAGGGGCATGGCAGCCGTGAGCTCTCTCATTTCTCTCTTGGGTGAGTGGGGGCCACAGGTTTGAGACAAGCTTGATCTTGTCACCCATTGTGCACCTGCCCATGCCCATTAGGCCTCACTCTGGATCTTTTTTTTTTTTTTTTTAATATTTTATTGATTTTATTTTTATTATTATTTTTTTTTACAGAGAGGAAGGGAGGGGGATAGTTAGAAACATCAATGAGAGCAAAACATCCATCAGCTGCTTCCTGCATACCTCTAACCAGGGATGTGCCCGCAATCAAGGTACATGCCCTTGACCGGAATTGAGCCCGGGACCTTTCAGTCCGCAGGCCGACGCTCTATCCACTGAGCCAAACCGGCTAGGGTGTCACTCTGGATCTTCAAACCCTGCCCGCCGCCTCCTGGGAGCCCTCAGGATTTGTTGACTTTTGCCTTCCCGGCAAGACCCCTTCACGCTGAGACCACTGCCTCCTGCTTCTCTACCCCGCTCCTCGAGCTTCCTCTGTGAGCAGCTTATTCCAAGCTGGTGAAGGCAGTGGTTCTTAACAGAGGGGGGCGGGGGGGGGGTGTTCTTTTGCCCCAGAGAGCATGTGGCAACGTGTCTGAGACATTGTTGATGGCCACACGGGGCTGAGGCAGATGGCTGGCTTCCTGTGTGTAGGGGCCAGGGGAGCTGCTAAACACTCTGTACGATACAGGATAGCAACAAAGAATCATTTATTCAGGTCAAAATGGCAACGTCAACACGTGCTGTTGTTGAAAAGCCCTGGTCTGAAGGGAGGAGCACTGACCAGGGGCTGCCTCTTCTCTAAGGACCATTTGAAAAACAACTTTAGCCCCATAGGAGTGGCTCAGTTGGTTAAGCTTCCTGCACCGAAAGGTTGCTGGTTCGATTCCTGGGCAGGGCTTATGAGTGTGATTGTGGGTGTGATCCTCAGTCGAGGAGCATACAGATAGCAACCCTTCCATGTATTTCTCTCACATCGATGTTGATGTTTCTCTCTCTCCCTCTTCCTCCCTCTCTCTCAACATGTCCTTGGGTGAGGACTTGTTTAAAAAAAAAAAAAAGTTAAAAAAAATTTTTTAAAGAAAATACCGTGGTAGCCAAAACCAGTTTGGCTCAGTGGATAGAGCGTCGGCCTGTGGACTGAAAGGTCCCAGGTTCGATTCCGGTCAAGGGCATGTACATTGGTTGCTTGGTTGCCGGCACATCCCCAGTCGGGGGTGTGCAGGAGGCAGCTGGTCGATGTTTCTCTCTCATCGATATTTCTAGCTCTCTATCCCTCTCCCTTCCTCTCTTTAAAAAAAAAAAAAAATCAATAAAATATATATATTTAAAAATACCATGGTAAAATATATATAACCCAAACTTTACCATTTTAACCACGTTCAAGCGTACAATTAATCCAGTGGCACCAAGTCCATCCACACTGTTGAACAACCATCACCACCACCATTCACCCATCTTCAGAACTTTTCATCATCCCAAACAGAAACTATGTACCCACTGAACAATTCCCCACACCCCTGCC